CAGTCATCCCTACAATCCTCCTCGAAGGTTGAAGCGGCAGTGGCCTCGAGATCTTTTGTAAAGACGTCATTAGAGTCCTGGTGATGGCCAGCTTCTCCACTCAAGTCATGAGCGTATGTGACGTTAGTGCCCTCTCTTAGTCTCCACTGGATTCCCATCCCAGTGATGCGGCTGTGAGAGAAGCGCTGGGATCTCTTATAGTCTTGCCTTATATTCCACACGTAGGGAAAATGGCCCGACTTGGAACTCCCTCGCTGTAATACGCCTGTAAATATTGTAAATAAGCATGAATGTTTTTTTTTTCTTATTTATTCAAATTTTTTTTTTTTAATTTGTGTTGTATCATATTTTATTTCATCTGTTTTACTAAGCTTTCTTTTTCTTATTTTTGTTATAATTTCTATTATTTTTGTAATTATATATGTTGTATGAATGAGTTCCTCACATCTCAAATACTCAATGGCCATGGTTGAGGCAAAATGTATATTTCTCAATAAAAAAAAAGAAAAAAAATCATATATTTCAAAATTTTCCTGGAGTTCATTTTAGTGCTCTTTTCCACATTTTTGTTATTATTATTTTTATAGTTTTTCATTTGTTTATTTTTTAAAAAGTAGTTTTGCTGTTTTAATTACTTTAAATATTTTCCTATCCTACACGGTGTATTTTGGCTAATTTTCAATTTTATTCAATGATTCCGACTAAAATGATTTGGTCACTATGAAGTGTATTTTTTATTTTATTCATAAGTAATATTGTCTCAGAATAATAAAAAAACATTTTATACACATTATTTATATAAATAGTATAAATTATTATTTTTTTTTGTCTATCAATATATGTATAAATTAATATTATAAAATCAATGGAATGGAAGGAATACAACAATGATCCTCTCATTCGTGCTATCAACAACATATGTTTATTGAATTTTAATGCTTATTGAAAAGGAATGGAGTAACAAACGAAAATTCAAATGAAATAAATAAAGAACTAAGAAAAGAAGGCAGTTTTGATAAATAATAGATGACAAAGGAGAAGAAAGGTAAGACTTTGCACACTGTAGGTGGTATTTGTAGGCCTTGAGGGACTACTTAGAGTGCAAGGACTGGTCCTATTAATCCGGTCTTCTTTAACATCTTTATTGCGCCTTGCACTCCTGCAAACTCTGGTTACTTTATCAAACGATAGTTAGTTACACTTCGTTGGTTAGTAATTGTAGGTGATGAATAATTAATTAAAAATAGAGATAATTGAAAATAAGATGAACAAGATCTTTTACAGGTTGTAAAGTATGCCTTACTAGAGTCAATCAATCGTTTTATGTTATTCCTTAACTTTTAAATGGCGATTTAAGGATTTACCAATAGAAGTAGTAAATACTTATAAATATTTGGGTGTCACGCTAAGCTCCAGTCTTTCATTTACTTACCATTTGAAAGATCGTATATCGGCTGCTTAAATGGGCCTTAATAGGAATTGGTCAAGTTTCATCGCTCAAGATCTGATCCCATTATCCGCCAAAAAAACAAATATTTGATGCGATATTGAGCTCCATAGTATGCAGCTCAAGTCAGGGGTTTTCAGGGATATGACATATTGGAAAAGTTGCAGAGATTTTTCATTAAGAAATTGTTTTCGTTGCCTCACCAACGATACCAAATAATATGATTTATTTAGAAACAGCCACAAATCCACTTGAGGTATTCACTTTGCAGTTGCATTTTAAGAATTGTCTTAAGTTAGTGTGCTTTCCTGAAAGTCGTCTCTCCAGAGTTATCGCCATTGAAGTGATTAAACGTAATAGATTTTGGTTTAAAAATTGGGGCAATTTGGCGGAAAGATACTCTTACAGGATCGACAGATATTTGGAATGCTTTTCGTTATGAAAAGGCCAGCTGGCAACAATACGGTCTGCAATCACTCAGCAACATTGGGGACAGTGTAAATTAGCGGCATTGAATTCTGATCGATGTTTATTGTATAGGGAATTGAGTCAAAGTCTTAAAATTTTAAATTCGTAGATGGCTGCTGTTAGGATTTGACAGGGCGCGAGTTGAGTTGGTTGTTCAAGCTCAGGTGGGAACTCCTTTATTTGACAGGAAGGCATGACAGGGAATATACGGATTGTCCACTCTGTAACCTCCCAGTAAAGGAGGACCTATTCCATTTTTTGGCTGAATGTTCAATGCTTGGTCAAATTCGTATCGAATTTCTTGGAACCGGACTAGCCCGGTTCGAAATGATATCCTAATCTGTGAACGAATGTCGTAAAATTGTCCGTTTTCCTCGACGTTTTAATTTATTTGTGGTGAGTTTTATTCTTGTTATCGTTTACGATTTCACTTATTTTCCTTTATTATTAATTCTTGGACATAAATTATTCAAATATTTATTATTTTATATTGTATTAGTTGTTTTATTATTTATCAGTTATTCATGTATATGTAATTATTATAAAGTCTTTATTTGTACTGTAGATTTAAAACATATAAAATCTCCGGCAGACGAATAATCAAGCCGTATAAATGTTCTGTGTATTTTTGAAAATTTATAATTTATACATAGTTAATAAAGTATCTCTCATTATAATTCCTTAACTTTTATATAGAACAAAATTGTGAAGTACTGCTTATTTAAATATCTAATTCATATAAAATTCACCATTTGAATAAAATATTTCAAAGCATCATTGCAATAAACATTTTGCAATATTAAAACACCTCTCTGTAGAAAATGAAAATAAATACGATGTATTTATTGCTAATTTGGAAGAATACCGGCAAAACAAAAAAATAAATGTTGATATTTATTATATTATTATTATTATTTATTGTCTTAGCTTTCTCAGATTTCACCACATCCCGGAAAAAAAAAACTTTAAGTGAATGTAGATGAATGTAAAAATAAAATAAAAGATACTTATTTAGAAACTTTCTGACAATCTCGCACGTACCGAGTAGGACTACTTTTTGTGAAGCTTTTAAATGCGCCAAATCAAGTCCAAGTTGTTGGGTGCCCTCTACTGTGCTTTTCAATATTAATCCATTAGAAGATATGATTATTCTTGGAGTAATCTTCGAGGTACTTTTAGTCTAGCAGGCCGGACTGAAACCTCACCTCTTATCTATCTTATCAAACGTCACGTCACATAACCTCCCTCTTCTTATCCCCTTTCAGTTATTGCATTGTTTAGTTTTCAGTTATTCCCTTATTAGGTTCACTTATTAAATTGTTTACTTTTGGTCCGTTTGTGTTTATTTTTCATTATTTTTAGTTTTTGGCCCGTTTGTGTTTATTTTACTTTTTTTTTTAGTTTGTGGCCCCTTTGTATTTCTTTTCGTCATATTATGGATCTTCTTAGAATATGGAATTTGACGCCTTCAGAAGAACAGGCACTTCAATATTTTTAAAATGTTGGGGTACTTGCCGACTTGAATCGACGTGTGATCGAGGTCATCGAATGAAGTCAACCAGGAAGGCCAAATGGAGATGCTTTCGTAGGACTTATGACACAAAACTTTCAATAAGGAAAGGAACATGGTTGGAGGGCTCGAGGATTTCGTTTTTAACAGCTTTAAAATTGATTTATGGATGTCCCTTAGCTTGACAACGATGAAGTGGGCCAAAGAGCAGCTGAAACTATTCAACAGAGCTATGGTAACGTGGAACAAATGTCTAAGAGAGGTTTGTGCCCATGATATGTTATACAGGCCAAGAAAAAAAATTGGAGGACCTGGCAAAGTGGTTGAAGTAAAAGAAAGTCTTTTTTCTAAACGAAAAAATCATGTGGGGAGAGTTTTATCTCAGCAGTGGATGTTTGGTGGAGTTTGTCGAGAAACAGATGAATGTTTTATCTTTTTATAAAACCGATTTCGTTTTATATTTTTTCTTTTCTATGTAAATATGTTCTTTTAAATGTGTTTTTTATTATTTCTTTTTAATGTTTTATATGTACATATCTTCTTAAAGTGTTTTTTTTATTATTTCATTAATACATGTGTCGTCAAATAAAAGTATTTTTTTTGTTATTAAATTTGTTTTTGTATCTGTTTACACTTTCAATAATACGAATTTAATACAATAATACGAAGATATGAAGTAAAAGAAAGCTTATCAGTGCTTTATGGGAGTTATCAGTGTTCAGGTTATAAACATTGGCAGATAGCAGTCAGTAGCGGCCCCTTAGACGAAAAGTACCATCTTCGATTTTTCCAAGTGATATAGCGTTTTTAACTCGAAAAAAAGTTTTTGGTATTTTCTAATTTTTTTTCCCTGCTGGTTATCAGCATAATACCATGTTGGTATTATACAAGGTATACAAGTACACAAGGTACTGTATTATTATATGATATTAGTTTGTGGTGAGATTTATATATATATATATATATATATATATATATATATATATATATATATATATATATATATATATGGACAATCCGAGAGCAAGTCTTGCATTGCTTCAAAATAAAATGCCATGCCTGTCTATCATCAAGTATTCTAGCTATTGCCTATCAGTTACTTTTTGCTACATTACTGGCGTCGTATGCGACGCAATCCTCCCATCTTAGTCTTGGTATGCCAACTGCTCGACGTCCATGCAATGGTTTTATCAATATAGGCTTAGACACATAGACACACAGTCTCGGTGATATGTCATTGCTGTCCGCTACGATCTGGTGATCTAGTTGCTTTACTGCCTCTTTTGCCGCCACTGGTTCGCATAGCGCGATCTTTGGCAGCGATAATGGCGTATTCCAGGTTTTAGTTCTTCTATAAATTAAGTTACTGGTAATGAGATTTCACATTTCATAGTAACATTTATAGGCTAGTATTATTCTTCTTTTAACCTCTTCCTCTATGCTATGGTACATGTATAATTGCCCCTATCCTATTACTGCGATACACACATATATTGTTACAACCCTCTTAGTCTGCCTTATTTATTTTATCGATTAATTAAAACTTATCTATTGATTATTATTATTTGTTCGTCTATGGGTATAGTATTCCCTGAAGGAGGGATAAGAGATAATATTCAAATTTTATTAGAATACTTTGGCAGATGAAGAAACTGCAACATATAATTGATATTGGTATTGTTGGTTATAGAAGAGTAGGGAGGGGTGGCCGAATGGGATATCGCGTTGTGCACAGCACCACCGTTACCTGGCAACCTGATATATGACAAATATGTTATAAAAATAGTCACGAGTTCGCGTTACGGTGCCAAGGCCTCTTTTAAATATCCGCCCACATCCCCTGGCCTGAGAAAACCCCGTATAGCCTTAACGGTGAGGAAAGGGAGGAACCAAAAAAAAAGGTTATAGAAGAGTTGATATACTGAACTTCTAACAACAAAATATTATGTTTAAATCTAAAGAACATTAAATCATTTAGGAAAATGAAACTTATAATTAATATAAACAAATATGAACCACATAAATATAACTCTTTACAGATTATATCCATTAACAAACAACTATTCTTTACTATAAAACTTCAATAGTTAATGAATATAAATTTTATAAGAGATAATTTGAATTCTACCAATGGGTAGTTTCTCTTCATGTTGTACATGTCATTTACCAATGTCACATTTACTTGTTGTATTTTTCATGTAATACAGTTGTAAATTTCATTTAAATAAATAAATAAAAGATTGGTCATTTATTTATTAATTGTTAATCAATCTAATTTGAGCTCATAATATTTAACTATTACGTTATATACATATATATAATGAGCGCTTTTACTTGTTGATGTGGACTGTTAAGAGATGGTGAGTGCTTTCACATCCCTACCAATCCGTACTTCACAAATTTAAAGTGGCTAACTCTATAGGGAGGTTTAAGAAGTTTACCTTTTCTGTGAAAATGTTGGATTCTGACATTCATAAATGATATAACGCTGAGTTTGGTGTTTCTAAGAAGCCTGATCTTTGGAAGTTGTTACAGCTCGTTTCCGCTTCGTCCCATACTGATAATTATTACACAATAAAGCGTTATAGTATGGTTTATATTTGTTATTTATATAAGATTTTTCACCGTACCGAACCATAATTATAGATATATATAAATATTTTATATGCAGGTACATTACGATTTTATTTATAGATCACGACGTTAAAATAAAACCACACACGGTGTTTTAAACGTATTATATGGAGACAAAACTCTACCCTCCTCGTTCTATTTATGATAGAACAGTGATCATAAAGTAGTGAATTTAATATATATATTTGGATTGATAAATTTTTGATAAAAATATGGTTGTTTTTTTTCAAAAATATTCTGCTAATAATTCTTTCTGTATTATTTGCTATACAATCAATATATTTTGTATTTGTCTTCAGTTGCGATTTCCATTTTAATATTTTGTCTCCTGTCAGATTGGGCTTAGAAACAACTCCAATTCGACCAGTGCTGGCCGGAGAACCTCAAGATTTAATAATGGTTCCGTTACCGTACATTATATACTTCCGAAACTGACTATGCTGACGATACAACAATTTTAACAAAACACCATAACCCTGGACAAATCTCACTAAATTTACAAAACTGGTACTTAATTGATAACTATATATAATGAATGACCACATATAACCATTTCTAATGAAAAAAAAATTTAAAATTATCTCTGAAAGTATTATTGTTTGTGTAATTACATTTAATAGTATTTCAAGAATCACCTAAACAACATTTGGTATAGGTAGTTTTTTTTTTTTTTTTAATTATTCCTGTCATACAGTATCCTTTAACCAATACCCCACTTATCCCTGTTGAACAAATCCGATACTCCACCTGGACAAACGACTCACTTGGAACACCCATACCAGACTGAAACGACTAGAAACCGCCCGACTTTGTCGACTACTTCACAAATGTTCTAAACTATTTACAAAGTACTCATATATATTACATTTAATAAGGTCTATTTTGACTTACGGTATCGAGCTTTGGGGCTCTACTAAACCATCAAATTCCCCTCGTATCCAATCTCTCCAATCCAAAATACTTCGTAAAATCCTTACTTTGACACAAATAAAATCATCCATAACGACTTTAATGTACCATATGTTTCCGATTTAGCTCAATCCAGGTACCTATCCTTCCATAATAAACTTAACGATCCGAACCATCTTGTTTCCAACCTTGCTTCCTTAGCTATTCCTGATAACCCTCCGAAGGCTCTGAAAAAAAGATGGACCTTCTAATACAGAAATATAATTGGAGTGCTACCAATGGGTAGTTTCTCTTCATGTTGTACATGTCATGTTAATTGTTTCATATTTACTTGTTGTATTTATGTTTAAATACATTTATAAATTTCAATAATAAAAAAAATAAAGTAATTATCGTTATATACATGAGAAAACTTTCTGGCTGAAGTCACTAATCTCCAAATTAAACCCTGAATCTGCTAGTGCTTGAAGGCCCTATTTCTTGGATCATCCAGGCATCAGCATATTGGACAGTAACTGCTCTCAGATTATACTCATTGCACGTAGTAATTTATTTGTTCTAAGTCTGATGAACTTCACTAAACTAGGATGGTCTAGATGAAATTTAAGTGTAGTGAACTGCTTGATGATCTTCACCTTTCGAAGCACATTACCAGTCGTAGAAATGCTGTCAATGTTTCATTATTATCCTCGTCACTACTCTTATAGTATTTTCACGATGCAGATGGTTTTGGTTCGCAATTTTGTATGCCATTTCATTTTCCGATATTCCTACTTGTCCCGGAACTCACTGTAAAAAGCCATTGTTGCTCTTTGTGTATCAGTGATATGATATTAACATTTTGATTTGCGTTACATTTTATCAGTATATCATTTTAAGAGGCATAAGCACTAAAAGTTTCTCCCTCAAGTTGTTTCCCTATAGTTAAATAGATAAAATTACAATAATTAAATAGTGGACATAACAAACGATTTGGGAAAACATATAATTATGCTTGGAAAAGTCACTAGCAAAATTTTAAATCCCTTAGCATGAAGAAGGGAACATAAAACATAAGGAATAAGAAAAAAAAATAATAAAGTGGGGATAGAAAGTGGTAAAACATGAACCACAACATGAAAAATCTTATGTATTATATTAGCTTACCATTTTATTTCTCAATATTAGCTTAGCTTTCATTAATATAAATTATATTTATTACCTGGCGGTTCAAGTTGGCAGTGGGTCACTTATAGGATTTTTTTTTTATTTATTAGTAAGAGACACGAGCCAACCACGCGGATACAAGATTTCATTTTTTTATTGGACCATTTTTTTTAAAAACTGTAATTACTAATATGTCGGGCAGGGCGTGTTTTGCACACGCCTTAGTCCGGCTAACTTCCCCGCCCCCTCCCCTTTATCCATATTATAAAAATCTATATTATGCGAAATGATACTAATATATATCCTCAGTTTCATAGACGGTTTGTTTCTTTTTTGTTGTCAGATGTTCCTTCTACTGGATTTGTAATGTATTTTAAGGTTTTTCGAAGCATTCTTCAGTTTTATTTAATTTTTATTTTTTGTACATTAATCAGGGTGTTGGGGCTCACCTCTATCTTTATAATTTTCTTCTAAAACTAACTTTAAATCTATATTTTACCATTGTCTAGGAACCGGCGGAAATGTAAATTCCGTATTATAATATTATAATAAAGCGTATTAAATTCACTATTGGTTAAATATTGTAAAGAATCATAAAATTTTATTATTCTTCTATTGATAAATTCATTTACTTTCGGTAAATTTAATAAAGTACGAATTTTTTCTCTTTTTCGAAGAACGTGTTTTTTTAGCGATCCCTTTTAATAACCAATAATGGAATTCCCGAAGTCTTTCGCTTGTGTTTTCTTATATGTGAAACAGTAGCGGAGCGTCAAAGGGAAGAGAAGAGCGACGAATATTTTTTTAAATGCGTAATTTTAATGTGAGGCTGAGGTTGGAGGTTGTATAGAGACGACTGAATTTGTAGGAATTTGTATAACTTTTAATAATTTTTAAGTGCTAAATTTCAGGTGTGTCTCAAATTTAATTCCTAGATAGACCAAATAGCTTGATATTTTTTTTTGGTGCAAATCGAAAACTCAAAATTGTTTAGGTATTTTTTTTTGTTTTAAGTAAAAATTATACGATCGGTTTTCATTGGAGTTACTTGTACATTCAATAATTTGAGTTCATTTTATAAGATATTTCAGGTCAGTTGCACTTGTTTCAATGATTTTGTGGCGTTCGTACTGCTACTATAGATAGCAATGTCGTCTGCATATGTCATTACAGATGTTTTAGTATAATTTTTGCTAATTATGTCAGAAGTGTAAATGTTGAATAAAGTTGGGGAAAGGGACGTATCTTGAGATATTTCACATGTAAAAGGATTCCATTTTGAATTAAAATGGAATCGAAGACGATCGAGATTATTGCTGACGTAGCGTTTCGGTTTTGGGTAGTTCAATTTTGAATATTTACGAAAAGATGCTCCGTTCATAGCAGAGGTTGAAATTCAGTTTGTTGGTCATGGATTACGAAATTTTACTAATATTTTTTTTGTTACTCATGATATTTACAACTGCAATATTAGTTAAAATAAAAATACATCTAGTAAATGTGTTTACAGGAATATAATCACATGAAAACGCTTATTGAGAAACTACCCACTAGTAGCTTACTAATATTGACTCCTTCGAGTTTCGAGATGAATACCGATAAAGCTTAGAACTTTTCCAAAAGAACTTATTTTCCTCACCGTCGTTAATATAATCAGATATTGTATAGATTCGTAAAAGTTTTTTTATTTTTATTTGTATTTAGCTCTATCATAGAGAGTCATTGGCGGTAAGCAATTATATTCTGTTGTATGGATTGTTTTCGATTTAGTATGAACAAAGTGACAATACCCTCTTCATTGTCTGGCAATATTTCTTTCAATGTCGTGGATAACTTTAATTTTTTTTTTGAGGGAATTGAGGGAATTTTAGTGATATTTGTTTGACTGTCTGTGGTGTATTGTCACACTTTTGGCTAATGGGCGCTTGTAGACCTCTAATAATGTACTTATGTGTAAACAGGCAGTATCCGATTCGTATTCGGCACAATATTATTTAATCTTTTTTTGATTTTTTCGTGCTTGAGGCCCATTTGTTGCACTCAGTTTTTATTTTTTAAATTGTTTAATAGCTCGTTTTGTTTTCCATTTGCCTTCCCAATTTTCAAATAGCTTTTTCTTTTTACTCGTGTACCCAATCTTCAACATTGATATCATTTATGCATGCTATCTATCCTTTCCTAGCCAAATGAGCAGCTTGGTCTGCTATTGCATTGCCCAATAAACTGCAACTTTTTAAAATAGTGTGTGGTCTAGAAAAGAGGTCACTGGTTTACTGGTATATACTGGAACAATTTGATTTTTAGTCCTTAGAGGTTTTTCACAGTTAATCTGCAAATAGATAATCATTAATTGGTTACGATCATTGCCCCAAATTTATACTTCAAAAGTAAGTCATTTTTCTATTTACGCCATTATATATTTTTTCAGTTTCTCCTGACCAAATTGAACGGCTTTATACCAGATTTACGAGTCTTGATAGAGGTGATTGTGGAACACTTAGCAGAGATGACTTTCTCAGAATTCCAGAGCTTGCAATCAATCCTCTTGGGGAGCGGATAGTCCATGCTTTTTTTTATGAAAGTGGAAGAGATCGTATAAATTTTCCCCAATTCATGCAAGTACTAGCGTGTTTAAGGCCAATCAAGCAGATGACAGATAACCACTTAAATTCCCGAGAACAAAAATTACGATGTAAGTAATCAAGATAGATTTTTTTCCATAAACCAAAACAGTTTATATGATGTGTAATTTTAATCATAATATTCCAGTTGCATTCAAAACGTATGACATTGATAGTGATGATTTCATTTCCCGAGATGAATTACTTGCTGTGTTACAAATGATGGTAGGAGCAATAGGATCCATATTTCAGTCAAAGACCACGCTCACTGTTCTCATTCTAATCTTCCGTCATACGTACATATCTTCTCTAATTAGGGAGTTGAAAATTGAAAAGGCACTTGAACGTACATATTTAAAAGATTTTAGGGTTGGGAAAAATATGATAATTGATTTTATTATGTTATACCATCTTATTTTTATTGTTTTTATAATCTTTACTTTCATTTTATTTTATATGCAAAAAAAAGTATTACAACTCGGAGTAGGGTGATGAGTGAATATTTTGTGATACACACCACACCAGATTTTTTTCTTTAAGTTTATAATAAATGTGGAAAATATTATTCATTAAAGGATCAAACAAAATTGTCTTCTTCCGGAGTATTTATATAGACTTCCAAACGATAGCCCTGAGGATGATCCACATTTTTGGGTCGAAACGTCGGTTAACCCAATAAAAATTCTTGACTGAAATTCCTCAGTATTTTGTTTCATCCTTATAATTGATCAGTCAAATACCCATCTATATAATTATTGGTTTAAAATTGGAAAAAAAAAAAGACCTGCATGTAATTTTTTGTTTATTAATTAGTTTGTTTTCTTACCCTAATTGCTTTAAAATGCAGAAAAATTGCAAACATATTGCGATTTAATTTTGCACGTAATCAACCTCATTAATAAGCCGCCCTTTTAATATCGTAGTCCCGAGGCAGAGGTAGTAGGGAGGGCGTTGCCAAGAATAGCTCGAGTCTCCGCCTCCGTCCCCTCCTCAGTGTTAAAGTCTCCTCTTTAAGTGTCCCGTCTCTCTCAAGAAAGTGAGTAATTTTTATATAAATTTCATTTATAACTTACCTATGTAATACATAAATTTCGTTATATATTACATAGATAAGGATAATATTATTAGTTTATTGAATTATTGTTTTACTTGTTCATTTAGCCTTTTTTTTCGTCGTTTTCGATGTCAACAATGATTACGATAGAGACAGGAGACGAACAAATTTCCTTCCTTTATTCTTAGTACTTTTTTTTTAACAATAAATATAAATATAGATCCTGTATAATTAATATTATTCAATATATTATTATTATTAAATTAAGATAAAAATATCCATTGGTTCTGCTATTTTGTTCTAATTATTTTTTGGTTATAAATATATATATATATATATATATATATATATATTTTATGCACTTACTCTAGAATCAGTAAATTATTTATTACTCTGGAAATTATTTATGACTGTACAATTTTATATATGTTGTGATTGATGTTTCTGAATTATATAACTAGAATGATTATACAATATAAATCAAATAATCAATATAAATATTTACAATCTAAACTTTAGTAAATTTTAAACTTGAAATTTGGCAAAAGTTGCTATTATATCCTAGACATCTTTAGGAGTGAATCAGAGGATTCATTGACAAATAATTTATTTGTTAATCTTTTAGATCTTTAAAATATAGGTAATAATATTTTATCTGAAGAAACTTGCAGCTGGCGGGTTGATGTTTCAGTCTGCAACTTTCTTTCCAAAGCTGAAGTATTATTTATAATACAATATAATATTTTTATATCGAAATATTCCTTCAACGATTATCATGAATAATGACTGAAAAAATGAATGTCTGAATTGGTATAGATGAATACAATTTATTGTAATAGAAAGAATAAGAGATTGGTGATCTTGATGAAGTTCTCTCATTTGCATTGAATCATTCTTCTGCAATCGAGAATAGAAGGTATAGGAGTAAAAACTTTGGCTTCTTCTAAAGCAGAAATGGCGAACTTTGACCAAGGCGGGCATAAATCTGAAAAATCTTGGTTTACCTCAGGCGCTGTCTTGTACAGAAATATTTTTAAAAAAGTCTATTAAGTAAAGTAGTATAGCTTTCTCGCAAATTTTATTGGTTACATGAGAAAATATGTATGTAGTTATACACTTCATGTAGATTCTCCAGTTGACATACTGGTCCTTCCCTCACCATCTGGAGCCTGAACCTGTCTTCTTGTAGCAGGAAATCGAGAGATCCTTTTGCTAGGACCTGTACCGGCTTATGAGACGATGACCTGTAAATCCTGACGGCTTGTAGCGACGCGCACTTGCCCTTCTGATAATGTGAGGAATGATTCCATCTAGGGATACCGCGATTCTCAGAACACTCGGGGCTACTCCTTTATAAATGGTAATAGTCGCTGAGTGTTCACAATGCACAGTTAATTGGAAACATTTAAATAAATAAAAATGTGAAGGACTCTTCCTTACTGATAAGATTTCTAGGTTGGTCCATAGGGCAGTACTTCTCACGGTTCATGCAATTCACCTATAGGCCGCGGTGGTGGAGCTGGTCTCCGATGATCTTAAACTTAATGAAGGAGACGACCCGTATCAAGTATGTTCTTTAAATAAGATCCGAAGCCTCACGAGAATAACTCTTAATTAATGAGAATCGGCATTTGTGGGATATACATTGTCTTCACAGTGTGGTGTGAAAAACTCTTCGAACAAACCAAATTTAAAAAAAAATTGCTAAATTTTTGTAAACTGACTTAACCACCAGACATTGAAGATGTAATAAACACTTAAATTAGGATTATTTTCAATTTACAAAAAAACAAGAAATCAATCCGTTGTGTTAGTTTTTTTTTTGTCCTCTGAACAATGCTATCTTATTGTTCATATTTCACTAATTTGATGTCGACTTTGTCACTCTTTATTGTAAATAAGAACCGTTGAAAAAACTCTAAAAGCTGATTGTACCTGTGAAAAATTTTCTAATATAGGAATTCTTCGTTTTTTTTTCGGTAATTTAATTTAAATTTCTATATTTCATAATTTTTTTTTTATTTAATATTACTTTTATTTCATATAATAGCGAAATACTGTATTTTATTTTTCGTTATCTTGCTGAAAAATAAAGTTCAACCCAATCAGCTTTATCCCAAATGTCATTGCATTAAGAATACTATGGTACAGTTTTACATTCAGTTTTCCATCTATTTACAAGTGGTCGCCTAATACAAGATCCCGAAACACCTGCCCAAACCATTAAGAAGCCACCTGTGTGTTTTGCTGTTGGTCGTAAAAATATATCAGAAAATTCCATTCCAGATCTTTTCTTATATTTCTTTCTTCCGCAACCATATATTTAAAATTTGTACTGATCTCTCCATAAAGCTTTGTTCCATTCTTGTTAAGTCTATTTAAACTTAAGTCTACAAATTAAGTCTAGTTAAACTTAAGTCACTTTCGCTTGTTTAGAGATCGAATGGTTTCCTACTTGCATCACATAAATAATAATTAAGGTCAAATAATAGGAGTTTCCATTAGATCAACTTGGGTTCCTGTAGCATCAGAATCAGTTATTTTTTGAGCCAGTCATCTGCTAGATTTTTAGCCGTTGTGCAAACATAGTAATTTTAAATATTATGTAGTAAGAATATGTTTTTAGATCTACTTGGACGTTTTGATTCTCCACTTTGTTTGATTTTTTAAAAATCCTTTAATAACACAATGAATTCCAGAAATAATACCTCCAACTTGTTTTCGAATTTCCCTGATTGTATGTCCTCATTTAAATAAAATTATAATTTTATGTCTATCAAAAACCTTTTTTTATTTTCTGCAATAAAAGTAATATTAAATTGAAGACAAAAATAAGTTATGAAATATGGAATGTTAAACTATCGATTAAAAGGGAAGAATTCAAATATTAGAACAATTTTAACAGATACAATCAGCTTTCTAGAATTTATACAAAGGCTCCTAATGTTAATAATAAAGAGTAAAGACTGAAGTGGATAACAAAGTAGTGCAATTTAAATAACAATGTAGCAGTATTCAGAGGTGAAACAAAACCAATTGGTTCCTTGGCTTTTTGCTAATTTAACAAGATGCAAATTTGTGCATATAGTGTTACATCTACAATGTCTGAAATGTTGAATCAGTTTACAATTATTAAGATAAAAACAACTCTAAATTGAAACATTTATCATTTTTATAAAAATTTGGGTTGTTCGAAGACTTTTTTCACACCAATGAGTATCTACAATCTAGTGTATATTCCACCGGATCTAACGTGGCCAGAGGGCAAGAACAAGAAGAAATATCAAATTATTTCTTTTTATGTGTCTTAAATGACTGTTTTGTTACCATTACTTCTTGTAGATGTACTTTGTTCCAATTTTTCGGTGTAAATCGTACAATAATTGATTGTAGTTTCTTATTAACCGATACACTTCGCCGAGACCGTTTCCCTAAAACCAATGTAAGCAAAAATATTTATTTTATTCTGTATCTCTCTCTACCCACGCAGCGTAGTGTAAAGTACCTTTCGATCGATCTTGATCCATAAAACTCCTGTTCCTCCTATTACATTAAAGAACTTTTACAGGCGTTCCAAGATATCAATGATTTCTCACCTGTTGGACTACCTTGTTCTCATAAAGCTAAATTATGGTATCCGCACGGTTGTTTCTGCTTATATTCATGAATTAGGTTTAATATAAATTGATTATTATGTTTATTTCCTTTAGCTGTTCTTGAATGATACAGAGGTTGAAATAGAAGAATCTAAAATTACTCTTAAACGATCAGGTCGTCAGCAAACGCTAGTACTCATTTCTCATGCGAGAATCAATCATCATATTTGGCTTGGATCTATTGATTTTTATGTTGAGGATAACAGTGAAATGGTCACGAATCATTTAGAGAAATAGTTGCACGTTCTGACTATATTTCTGTGCCTTATATTAAAATAATATGGATGAATGAAAAAAAAAATATGAATTCATTAAATAAAACACAAGGTTAACGATGGTTAAAATAATAGTATATCATGAACAAAAGCAGGCAAAAATAATGATAAATACTATTAACAATATGAATTACTTAAAATATTTTTATATTGAACAATCTATCTGAGTTATTTAACTTGTTGAACAAAAACGTTTAAAACTGATAAAAAGAAAATTTTTAAACAGTAGAAAGAGAATGATCCAATATATATATATATATATATATATATATATATATATATATATATATATATATATATATATATATATATATATATATATATAATATCACTTATATTAGATATTCTTACACTATTTGGCTAGCGCCACGCTGGATTATTTTTATGAATTTCTTTTTTGGAATAAATAAGAGTTTATAAATGAAATAATAAGAGTTTATATATTCGTAATTGATTTTTGAATATTTTAACGGCAAGGTGGCGTACTTAGACAAAGAATCTGAAAACTGCATCATTTTAACATAAATAAACTAGTGATGCAAAAAATCATGACCAAGACCGCCTAATTGTTGCAAGACCAAGACCAAGAGTATTAGAAAAATAAAATAAAAAGCGCTTTTGTGAATGGAAAATAGTTAAAACATTTTTAATAATAGATATTTTTTAGATTTATCATTATTAATGCTTTATTGAATATATAATACAAAAATTAACAATGAAAATACAAACAAATTTACAGTATGTAACTTTATCCGCCGGAAAATGTATACAATATATTACTGGTGCAGTAGATGGTTAACTAATAATTTTTGCCATATCAATGAAGTAAAAAAAAACATGATATATAAATGTTTTCTTTCTATGTTATTACAAATATATATATATATATATATATATATATATGTATATATATATATATATATACATATATGTATATATATATGTGTGTGTGTGTGTGTGTGTGTGTGTGTGTGTGTGTGTGTGTGCACTAGCGGATCCAGGATTTAATTTTGGGGAGGGCTTCAGCCCGGAACCTTTTTTTTCATAAAAATAACGATAATTACTTTGGAAAAACAGAAAGAAACTAACTACCTATATGAAATGGTGTTTAAGTTACTCCTTAAGTACTTTTAAATGTAATTACACGAACAATAATACTTTAAGAGGTATTTTTTAATTTTTTTTCCCCATAAAACATGGTTATATTTTTCCATTTTGGGGGGGCTTCAGCCCGAAAGCCCCCCCCACCCCGTAGATCCGCCCGTGTATGTGTGTTCATATATATATATACACACACATATGTTGAGAAAGGAGATGGTCCGGGATGGCGGTCATAAATAGACTAAATAATGGCAAAACTATTTTATTAAAAGCCAACGTTTCGACCCAAATTTGCAGATGTTCATCAGGGAGTTTCATTTAAAACTGCTAGCAGTTAGCTCCCCCTCCCCCCCCTGTACTTTCCATTTTATTTTCATCTATTTATTTAATTTCGTTTCATTTTTTTTTTCTGTTTTTAGCGCGGTTACCTCACCTATAATCTCTATGTTTTCTTTTCTTTTTTCTCTTTCTTCCTTCTTAATATCTTATTTTATTTGTCAATTGTATACAAAGATATACATAGATATATATGAAAAATAAATTACAAAATATATTATAATTAAGGTTATATATTATAATTGTGGGTTGATGGTTGACTGAAGTGAATAATTGAAGAGAAGAACGGTTGGGATCATTAGTAAACATAAATATAATTATTTATTTTTACTTTTTTTTCATCATTCTTCAGCCATTTTTCTCTTCAGTTATATATTATAATTTAAATGAGAATTTTGTATAATTCAAAATGTTATTATATTTTTGTCTGTAAGAAAGGCCCTTAGGCCCTAAGACTATAAACGATCAATCAATCAATCAATTAGGCCCCTAGATGTTTCCAAATAAATGATGTGGTTTAGTTGGTAAGTGGCAAAGAAATTATTTGTTTGATAAAAAAAAAACAAAAAAAAAACGCTGAAACTTTTTTAATGATTCGAATCTTTAAAAAGCCCATACTTGTTCAGTATAACAGACTATGGAGCGCGTCAGATATTTTTATTTATTGTTTGTTTTTTGGCAGAGATTGGGTGGGTTCTGTTCTTGGGAAATAAAACGACCGATTCCTCTTAAGAACCATTTTAGCAGCTAATATTCGTTCTTTCAAATAATAAACTAGAGAAATGACACCGTAGTTTTGTTTAGTTTTTGTTATTATTTTAGGCGTAAATATAGATCCATGATAGAACTATGAAGTATATTTTTTTCTCTAAAATTCTTAATTGAGATTTATTACAATATGTCACATTTAAGGACAATAGTAATAGCGCTAAAGAATAGCTCATTCGCATTATGAACAATAAATAAAAATAAATAAACAGCAGAATTATAATTTTAAAAGTAAATGCATATAAACTAAAATATACTAAACTAGACAAGAACAAACTAAACTAATTAAAATAACTACTTAAATACACACGTACTTTTATACAATGAATACAAAATTCATTCACTCAAGATCTCTGAACCAAGCCTTTCCCTCCACTCGTGGAAGAAAAGAAAGGACTCTAGGAGATCCGTGTGCCTCTCACTCAGCCGCATCACTGGTATTAAGGACCACTGGAGGCTGAGCAGAGGCACCATAAACAGACATACATGGCTTGAGAGGAAAATCCGTCCATTTCCAGAGCCCCAATATATACAAAGTATTGAAGAATTGTATAATCTCTAAACCTAATGAATGTCACGCAGGTAGTAACATTAGGCGTAAAATTATGTTATACAAATTAGAAATACAAAAATACAACTCATGAATATTTCTAATATTCGATGTCTATGATGGTACGAAAAGAAATTGCAGCAGATAGAAGTTTAATTCTTCACATTAAATTTCAGCGCAAGGAAGTAAGGTATATTTATTTTGAAAATTACTGATTGACATTTTATATTCAACACATATAGCCATGAACTTGAGTATTACATCATGTGAAACCACCAAAAGTTTGAGAATACTTAAAATATAATCAAGCATTTTTTTTTTCAGCATTTTTAACTCTATTATTTCGAAACATTTTCGAGATCGCACCGAATAACTTGATCCAGCTAATTTAAAAATCAGTAGTAAGATCGCTGAAAAAATCGTTACATACCTTTTTTCGTACATACCAAACATACGAGATAGAAAGGTAATAAAATAGGGGAAAGAGGAGCGGCTTGTTTGAAATATGAACGAACTTCAAACATTTCGGAATTATAGTTGGAGATTTGAAATTTATTGAATTTTAAGACATACCCTTGAAATTATAAGCTTTTTCCTTGATGTTAAGCAGATAAAAAAAATATTATTTTTGGTAAGCAAATTAAGGGAGACAATTTTATTAAGAAAGTGTCTAACAATAACCTTTTTGTTATTGAAATGAAAATCAACTCGAGAATCGCAACACACGATTGAAAGAATGAATAACAAGTGGAAATGTTAAAAACAAAAATGGAAGGTATTAAATTTGATAAGGTAACTGAATAAAGTGGAAGACAACTTAATCAGAAAAATAGTTTTTGTGCTTGTCATCTAGTCCTGAATAATAAGAAAAATATTCTTATCACGGCTCGGTCATTTTACAATACAAGTCATTAAGGACTTATCGAATGAAACGTTAGCAGTGTGTGCTATTATGTGTTGTAAATAGAATCTCTCCTATGGCCTTGGGTTTTTTTATATGCACAATTTTCATTTCAAAAGTAAACATTTAATTAACGTAAAAAAACAATGTGTTTTCTTCATTTACACGTGATTATTCTAACTAGCATACAAGATGGCTCCCTCACTATTGCTTATAGGTAATTGATCGATGCACTGTTCACTAACTCATTCATAAACTATACAATTATGCTTATGTTGCTAAATAAAAAAAAGAGAATTATTAATAAAAAATAAATAAATTGTTTCCTCATATTAAGGTCTATTAAGCAAAAAAAAATTGCTTAATTTTAAAATGTTGATGTCTCAACTACTGATACTTGTCTAATCAGCTATCAGCTCGGAATCGTTAGGATTAATTACTGTTTTGCCGTATGATTAAAAGAGCATTACAGCACGTTTACTTAATTATGTTTATGTATATGTACAGTTGAAATGTACTCCAGCATGTTTACTTAATGATGTTTACAACCAATGCTCCTTAAGTGTGCTCAAGCAGTTTTGAATCAGAAGTTTTGTTTCAAATATGTTTCAGTCTTCGGATGATTTAATAGCTAAATCAAAGTAAATATCGGGGTTCTGAATGCCTACAAAGACATTATCTCATCGACGCACGCTAGGACGAGCTAACGGTTTGACATTGGGTTTGGGAAAAAAAGTTAAAATTTGGAGGTTTTACTGCATTAGAGACAAACTAATATCGTTTCACCTTCGTTTACAGTAATTTTAACGTATTTATCGCATTAATAATGTCCTGATGTGAGATTATAGGAGAATAAATGAGAACCATCTTTTTTATATTTAGAGCTGGTTTGCCAAAATATTTTGTTCAAACCTAACGGTATGTGCTAGGCAGAATAAGGTATTTCTAGTGAATCCTAAGACAGTTAAAATATCGGTTTTAAATATATGCATAGTTGCTACAACGTTTCAAGCAATTGCAAGCAATTTTGGTCTATTTCGCAAATTGCCCGAAATTTCTCGAAAAAAACAGATATAGCCTATTGTTAACAAAGGTTTGAACTTCTAAAACAGTTTTCAGACCTTGCCCCAATCTATTACCTCGGAAGTTACTGAGGATCTAACACACGAGAATGTTGAATTTAGTGTTACTACCTTTACTCATTATTTATTTAATTATTGGAGTTCTGGCAATGGCAAGATTCTCCACTCAAGACATGAGTGTATGTGGCTAAGTGCTCTCGACCAATCTCCGCTGGCTTTAGTAC